GGATCGCCATCCCGATGGTACTATAGCTGATTTTTGGGATTCTTCTACCTTGTCATGGAAAATTCAAACAAAAAGGCTACTTAAAGATTTCTTTTTATAAGAAATCGAACTTTTCATTGAGACAAATGAAAACAAAAACAAAAAAGAGGGAATACAAAAACAACAGCCCAGAAAAAGTAAGCCAGCTTAAAAAAAGGGTTTCCAATCCAAAAGAATAGAACCTAACTGATAATTACAAAATAAATTCAAGAGACACTAAACCTTATGAGGTCTCAAACAGACTTCAAATCTCTCTCCATCCCTCTAAAGATTCTATTCTTTCTTTCCAACCAATTTCCACACAAAATCCCCAAGAAACCCCCATGCCATAAAAACATCTCTTTCTCGCGAAAAGGAGAATACAAAAGCACTTCCTCCACCATAGACACCCACTCTCTATGGAGAACCCAAGAAATCTTGAAAATCTCAAAGAACCTGCCTCAAATTTTCTGGGAGAACTGGCAAAGCCATAAGATATGATCAAGGTCCTTGGAATCCCGCTTGCAAAGAACACACCAATTGCTGCAAAATTTATTGAGTTGTTGTCCACATTGAATCCATTCACCCCTAGCAGCTCGGATGATAGCAAATTCTGGTCTTTAGAGTCCTCGGGTTTGTTCACAGTGGCTTCTTTATGTAAGCCTTGTTCACCAAATTTAATGCCAGCTGACCTCTATCAGGCAATTTGGGAAACAAATTGTCCAAAGAAAGTTAGCTTTTTTGTTTGGATCATCCTGTATATGGGAAGCTAAAGTCTAAACACTGCATATGTTCTCTAAAAGAAGCTTTCAGCTTCTTGTCTATCACCCTCAATCTGCATGCTTTGGCAAGCAAGTGGGGAAAGTGTTGTTCATCTTTTCTTTCAATGAACTGCTGGTTCTATCTGTTCAAGGAATTCAATTTATCTTGGGCATTCAATGGTATTGTTGCAGACAATGTCACTCATTTGTTCCTTGGTTTGGTATTGCCTTAACAAGGCCAACTACTGTGGTTTAATGCTATTAAGGCTTTGCTCTATAAATTATGGTTTGAAAGGAATCTCAGAATTTCGAGGGGCAGCATAAATCCCCGTTTGATCGGTTTAGCATAGCTAAATTTAAAGCTTCTCATTGGTGTTCATTATCAACTAATTTTGGGAATTACTTTTCTTCTCTCATTGGTCTAATTGGGATTCTTTTTGTTGTAATGTTTAATTCTTGTTTCTTGTTTTATTTTGTCTTCTTTCACTCTTTTGAGAGTTTGTGTCGTGGAACCTTTAAGTTCATTTTCATTATTTCAATGAGAAGTTCGTTTGCTTTCACTCCTTTGGGAGTTTGTATCCTTGAAAATTTTTGTTCCTTTTCATTTATCAATGAAAATTTCGTATCTTTTCCAAATAATCTTCAGCTTTTCCCTAACTAAAGAAAAGTATGTTTTTCGTCCTTCCCTTATGTTATTTAACAAGGTTATGATCAATTCCACATAAACTGTTGCAAATTAGCATGATGCAGTGTAAACAATAAAACTAAGAACAAAGTAATCATTTTAATTGATATGATGCAAGAAAATTGAAATACAGACATTCCACTATGCGTTTGCGAGCATCATTGAGCATCTTCCACTCGGAGGATTCTCGAATAGCTTTAAAAGCATTGTAAATAGGTTTGCTTTGCCCCAACCTAAGCTGAAATTTAACTTTCTCTGGCTGCAGCCAAAATAGATAACATTAGTCTCGAAGAAGAATTGAGCAAGATAACTCAAATCTCGTGACCAGAAATAAATTTAATGAGTAAAAGGAGATCCCAACAAGCCATGCGGAACACTTCGTCACTAAATAATTTCTAATGCTGGCTGATTTTTTTTCCTTACTTGGACTTCTGAATTGTGAATAATTTTCCTAAGTTTGCTCCCAATTCATCCTGATTTTACACGCAATAAGCATAAAGGAGGACTGAGCATTTTCTACTATCATTTTCAATATGTAGCGCGAACTCTTTTCATGCTAAAAAGACACAAGACTATGCTAAACCATTATATCTTCCCACATTTTTAATCAACCGGTTTTACTGGATATTGGTTTCTAATATGAGTACATGTACATTACATGGGTTTCTCTCTTGGATCTCTGGCTAATCCAAAAATAAACATGCAAAATATGATCCGTCGAACAAAAGCGTACACGCTCTTCTAAATACGATGAATATACCTGAACTTCTTCGATGGCGGTCCGAAGATCTGTAGTATCCTTCACAGACTTCAGATGGTTGACAATACCCCAAACCACATTCAAACGGTCTATAATCTTCTCTAATGGTTCAACCAACTTTGACCAAGATGGCTCCACTGTTCGCTCTAATTCCTCCAGATCCCCCTCCTGAAAGTGCCGCATACATGCGATTGACCCCAATGCGCGGCCCAATTAGAGAGGGAAAGTTTTTAAAGAAAGAAAGAAAAGCTCGGAAGATTAATTAAAGACCAAAAACTTCAGCAAATAAAGCCCAGATAGGACCATTAAACAACAAAATAGGGGGAAAAGTTTTTTAACAAAAAAAAACAAGAAAATTGAAAGGGGCATACAAGCTTCTTCAATAGCGTAAGAATGCCCGGGCGAACATGCTTAGCTTCGACGACATCGAAAGGCGGAAAATAGAAGTCTTGGAGAAGAGGATTCGATTGAGAAATTTCATCCACGACGGCAGAAGCAGCCATTGACGGGGAAGAAAGCGAAAAACAGGGAGAAGAAGAGTGGATGGAAGAAGAGGTAACGGAGTTGCGAAGGTTGTGAAGGCAGAAGGAGAAGGAAGATGACCAGAGGGGACAAGGAATAGATTTCTGTAAATGGTTAGGAGAGGAAGTGGAGAGCGAATATGTCGTTTTAAGGAGTGGATGTACGGAAGCGGCGAGTAGAATGCGGGACGCCATTAACATGTTGGCTATAAGAAGGGCTTGCAGTACCAATCCCTTCGTCTTCATTTTTCCTTTTTCTTATTCATTCCTTTCCTTTCTTTTGTCTAGATTGAGGTTTGTGATTTGAGAAGACTCCCGATCGAACGGTTTGTGCTATTGCTCGTGGTCTACGCATTGTACGGGCATCCGTCTAATATGGGATGCAAAATCAGCAACATCATTATTTCTTTTAGTAAATGAGTTTATGCACCACTCTATTTTAAATTTTGTCAATAAAAGTGTCCTTTTTTAAATCTTTGAACAAATAGTCACCAACCTAGTATCTAACGATATTTTTTATTGTTATCACTTATCTTTGACGTATGTGTACTTTAAATTTTTGAATAAGTAATAATTCACTACTATATTTAGCAATATAAGAATGTGATTATTAGTTTGAAAATATTGCATTTTAAAAATATCTTTGCCGCGGATGCTACTTCAATGGATTATGGGTAAATGTTCACTAGAGTCTCTAAAATAATAGGAAGGGATTCCGKGATTATTAAGTTCTAACGGGATAAAAAACGATTTTCCTTCCCCTCGTAAACTCGGGTAAAACAGCTTCGCTCAAATCCAATAGTAGGTAAAACCGACCGAAACCCCTACTTTTGCCAAATGGGAAACCCGACTCTACGAACCCGAGGAAAGGCTGGGACATAACTTGGACTCTTGCAAAATATGGAAAGAAAAATAGTTGGTCCTTCTCCTTAGTTTCTAAATGAGAAGAATCGTGGGACATCAAAAGTGGGAAGTTGTTGGTTTTTCTTCCTCCACGGTGCATATTTAAAAACCATTGCTTTTTTTATCCTTGTATAATAAATATCTACAATAGATTTAATGTAGGTGTTTATGACTATTAAACATTTTTCAATGATAGATGGTTATTAATCTATTAATATCTTCGATAGTCATCTATCAATCTATCAGCATGTAATAGTAATATACATTGGTCGATGAAGACGCCTATTGACATGTACTTCAAGTATAAGTATTCAAAAAATCCAACAACTCGACGATTCTCGATTCGGGTTAGGTTGTGAAATTCTCAAGTTCCCAACCCGACTAGGTCGTGTCTCTTCAATCTCAGTCATTCATTAAGTTTTAATCCTAGCTCTTCATAAGTTAGGGTTTTCTCATTTTTTTCATTTTCAATCTCCTTTCACTAACATTTATTTTACATTGTTTTTTTTATGTCAATTACCGCTTAGTCATGCTTTTAGCATTCTCATTCTATTTTGTTATTAACATATAAATAACATAATTTCAAACACGTGCTAATTTATTGATGTGGGTATATATTTAAATCTCATAAAATATGTATATAATTGATGCGGGCATACATTTAAATGTAAAAAACTAGTTACTAGATTGTATTAAATATAAGACAGCAATTGGCAAGATAAATATATTTTGAAAATTTACGGACCAAAATAATTACATTTAAAAATGTAAATAACTAAAATAATAATGTTAGATTGTAGTTACCAAAATAAAACAAATCAAAATAGATTTATAACTTATAAATATTACTGTAATAAAAAGTCCATGGTTGGTGAAATAATTGTTTGGTAGTACAACAAAGGTAAGATATGAAAATTTGAATATTCGAAGAAGTAGATATTTAAGCCACGGTAGATGATCATTTAATTGGATGATCGCAATTTAAAACTTTGGTTAAAATAATAGTTCGGTCTTGCAACGCCCAATATTTGGGCTTAATTGCCCCGACATCTACGCATGAAAACTATCTAGGTAAATCAACACAAATCCTTTTAACATGATTTGTTCTCACTCACTTGCTTCCAAAGAATATCTGTTAAAGATCACGATCGAGTCATTGAAAATAAAGGTGTACCACATTGATACAATTTTTTAAAATTTTTATTAACAGCGCTTCCATGATCTCAGGATCCCTCTCATTCAGACGTGGTACCGGTTTATCTATGTACCTATCCTCTCTACTCGGACGTCACATGCCCACCAACTTGAGCTTGGTTCGTCCCCCAATTACACCGTATTAGGAGAGATTCCACTAATCTACTTCTGTTTCCCTCTTCCTCGACCAGCTAGCCCTTCACGCCAGACCCCACCTCAGGCGCTCTCTGAACTCGCTAAAACCCTCCCCCTCATCCTCCATCCCCTGCCGGCGACACACTCACGGCGAACACCACGTCAGGCGGTGGTAGTGCAGATCTTCGACGAACGGCGAAACTCCAACGGCCCGCGATTCCCCGACACGAACTTCTTCTCCGGCGTCCGCCGAATGTTGAGACAGGCTCTCGATTAGCGGTACGTCGGGGATCGTTTGGAGCTGCGCTGTGATCGTTCAGGAAGGCTTAATCGGGATCGGTCTCGAGCTCTCTGTACTCAGGCGTGCCCGGTTCCGGCATGAATCGGCGGCTCACTGTCGGGCGATTCGGTAGGTAGCCGGCGTAGGGGTATTGGCCGAAGTTCACAGCGATCCTTATAACAATGACAAAATACTTTATTTTCTGGGTTATATATCTTTTGATTTGGTATTTTGTACGGGGGAAGAACTTTGTATGATTTCGACGGCCTTCCATTCACCAAGTAAGAGAATAGTGGATCTCGAATCCGTGGACGTTATTTGGCAGCGGAATAGTGCAGTGGAAAGACCAAAAGACTTCTGAATTAATACGAAGGCCCAAATGAGCAGTTCGAGAGAGCAATCTCCAGATTGGATGCGATCTTTCCAAGTAATTTTGTCTACTTGATGGCGTTTTTTCACTATTCTGAAACACTCCATTTGAATTTGAGTCTTTGAAGTTTTTTACCCATATATAAAGCTCAAGAACCTTGTCCTTCCAGATCTCTTGAACAACAGCAGAAACTTCAAATTCACTTTCTTGCTTTTGGAAAGGCTGTTTTGTTGTGAGAGCTATCTCAGTCATTCTTTTGGAAAGCGTCGAAACAGGTGGTTTTTAAAGAGAGGGAAATTCATATATTTCACAATAATTCAAAATAAAACTGCCTTTGAATCGTCCTTCAAACTTGGAATCTTCAGAATATCACACATTAATTTCCAGTGGCATAAGTACTCTCTCTCATCTATTACTTCCTTTGTCTTCATCTTTGCCTTCTCCCAACAATTTCTTTTATTTATTTTTGATCTCAGTAGTCAGTCGTTAATGTTTTCTTTCTTAAAATCACGTATTATTTCATAAATGATTCTATTTATTGGTATAAATTTCATTTAAATAAAGCGGTACTCTACCATATGTTTTTTCGTTGTAATAACATAATTTAATAAAAAAGTTACAACTTAAATAACAAAGGTAAAATTCATCGTCTTGTATAAATACAATCAAGGTACAGGTTTCCAGTTATGATATCTAAGCATATGACTTCTTACAAATATTTTCGTTCTATACCTTGTACCATGTTTAAATTGTCTTTAAAGGCTTGAGATCTTGAGGAAATGATCACCGAGTATTTACTTGTGTATTTCTTCATTTAGAATATCAATCCTACACAGTGACATATCACTTTCAAGGTTTATATTTTTTCCCTGAGAACTGATTCCGATAAAATAATCTTACTTTGTTGAATAGGTACCAACTGGTGTTGCACTATCCTCTAATTCTGAATCATCAAATAATGTGAGCTCATTTATGGACAATGCAATTGATCAAAAGGATCTATCTTCACATAAAACCACACAAGACTTGGATGGAGATCAGATACAAGGTATTTCAATGCTAAATCTATAAGTTTCAGTTCTCATCTTGTAGGAACATTGCCTAGGCACACCAGAGAAAGTGAGATTAAAGCCAAGGGAGAAGTCATAGTTATGGAAGGCTTTGACATGTATTTTTGTGTTCCTCCAGTGATTCTAAGTTGGAAAACTTTAATGACTTTAAGCAGACGATTCATCTTATTCCTAACTACTAGGACTTGGATTATCATCCTTTAATGATAGTGATAATCAATATGCTTACTGGATGAATAACTCTTCTGTCTTATTGTTATGATGCAGGGGACCGTGGCCACCATAATCTGGTGAAGGAAATGAAACTTGAGGAACACGCGGGACATGGGGTGAAAGATTTTACTTCTGGACTTTTACTTTTGTCAGTGTGTGTATTATTAAGGACATTACTAACCTTTAGCCCATTTATATCAAGAATTCTACATGCATATGAGATGGTTGGGACACCTTTTTAAGGCTAAATTATTTTTAGTAAAATCTAGTTAGCTGATGGGAGAATCTTATTTTCATTTATCAGGACTCAAAGCACTCAGTTTGGATGTTATCATCAGATTCGGAGTTGTGTTCTGATAATAGTCTTATAAAGGAGGATTATAGTCATCACGAAGAATTATTTGAATCTAAAACATCTCAATTCCTAGGGAGACGGAAGGATGAAAATACAGATCGAGAATTCACTGATGGAAAATCTAAATCAAGGAAAGTGTCAGATAAAAAGTCTCCAAAAAAAGAGGTCAAATCACAAGTTCGTACTTTGACAAAAGAGAAGATAATCAATTTTCACACCAATAAAGAAGGTTTTGTGTTAGAAGGTGAGGGAGTAGTACAATAATATATAACATTAAACGGTAGAAGCTTTAGTAACTCATGAAGAGAACTTTAAATTACTTACTTAAGCCTTGATCTGTTGTGCTGCATGAAAGCTACTGCCTGCTGTGTATGATTTTGTATTGGAGTATTTTCTGAAAAGCTTTCACCCATTTAGGATCTGAATGCTGTGTAAGAAATGGTGGAGACGTGGAGATTATAGGAAAAGATGCATTGGATGACTGCAACGGACCTCCTGTAAGATTTAAGTTCAAGCCACAAGAATAGGCATATAAAGTTCACTATACTCTTAGTCTACTCATTTGCTTTGGAAATTCAATTTACAGGTTTCCTCCTCAAGGTTGCCATTGGTCCTCTCTGACAAAGTCCATCGGTTGAAGGTAGTGTTGCAACATAGATTATGATGAATGAGCTCTTTTGACAGACTCCTCCTGTCTTGATTCTTAGGTTTTAAAGCTTTCTGAATCATTATATATCATATATTTTTTGTTGTTATGAGGTTCATTCCATTATGACGAAATTATGTTGAAGAGAAATTGTTTACCCAAGAGTGAAAAGAGATGAAATTTTGAAGAACTAATATGGTGCCAGTGGCACCTAATTTTTAGTTTCTTAAATTCTTGATTGACCTATTGATTAACTGGAGATCGTTTCTAAAACTCCCAGTCTCTCAGGTTTTTCTCCCTTCTTTGTAATATTTCATTTTATCAATGAAACATCTGTTTCTCATAAAAACATGCAGCATTCTTGGTCAGGTTTCAGAGGGAAGGGAAAGTGAAGGAAGAATATTGAATACATCATTTTTAAGGGCTATTGTCTTATGCAGGCACTTGTTGAGTGTGAAGGAACTTCAATAGATTTGAGTGGTGACGTGGGTGCTGTAGGACGAGTTGTAGTTTCAGATTCCTCATTTGCAAAAAATGAACTTTGTCTAGATTTGAAAGGTAAGTTTCATCCGTATGTGTTATGTTATGGTAGTAAGGTTTTCAGATATACTTCCAGTACTTAATTGTCCATTTTTTCCATGCATAGTGATTAACGTTTACTTTCTAGATCATTCTTTCTGACCTTCTTGTTGGTTAGTTTCGAAGATATCAGGATGTCTTATAGTTGTCGGGTAACTCATCTATGGTTTCTTGACTCAGGTACAATTTATAGAGCGGCAATAGTTCCTTCAAGGACATTTTGCATTGTATGTTGTCATTCTTCACTTATCTGGTTTTTAAAATAGTACCATTTTTCTTATTAGTAGCTTTGTACTTGAAAGTCATGTTGAAATAAAAGGTCTTCGTTTATTGCTCTTTATGGCTCCAAAATGAATTATTTATGTATTTCCCACCCGGCTTTGTTGATGTAAATCTTATCTTTGTCCAGGTTAGCTTTGGTCAATCAGAGGCAAAGGTTTGTATTTTTTCCAACTATTATCTTATACACTATCCCTTTATGTATCAATAATGTGTAAGGTATCCCTTAAAGAGCTTGATATTCAAAATGGAAAGAAAACAAGAGAACAAAGAGAAAACAAGAGATGAACCCCTAGGGCATTACAAAAGTCTTCCCTGCCTTTGCTGGTACTCTTCCTAGTCACTACTTTCTCAAACCAACAAAAAAACCCTCCCCTAACAGACTCTAAAAGCATAAAAAGGCCCCAACTAACTTTGGGGAAGGTGAAATTCCTGAGCTACCCTCCCTTGCAAAAATGACTAACTTGAGGGGGGTGAGTTGCCCATCCTACCTTTCATATTATTAGTATTAACTATCGGGGGCCTTACATCACCCTTAGGTAAAGAAGCACCTTGTTCTCAAGGTGAAAATCGTTGTTGGATGAATGTGCGTGATTCCAATGTTGCCTCATGCTCGGATAAGCCCATCCATCGTACTAGTAACTCAATGACTTCAGTTCGGTTGGTTGCAGTTGGTCGGCTCGTTTTTTGGGTATATCTGTACACCCCTGTGTGTTGCTACCCACCCGAACTCTCATCCCTTAACACCAGGGGAAGGGGAAGTGTTGTGTTCGAAGCACCCAAAGCTTTCTTAAGTTGCGAAACATACAACACGACGAATAGATGCCTCCCTAGGTAAGTTGAGCTTATAAGCCACTATTCCCACCCGTTTCTTGACTTGATATGGCCTAGAAAATTTGGGATTCAGTTTTCCATTATGGTATTTGGTTATTGAAGCTTGGTGGTAAGGGCGGGCGAATTTTGAGGTAAACCTAATCCTCGCGGCCAATTCCATCCCCCTCCAATGGCGGTCTGCAAACTTCTTCATATGCTCTTGTGCAGCTATGAGGTGAGTTTTGAATATGGATAGAACATTGTTACGCTTTTTTAGTTGCAGTCTAAGGAAGAATTCAATGTCCGATGATCACTCTAGAATATTAGAGGTGGTGGTGGGCAAGTGTAAATGGCATGGTGCCAATCGACAGATGGAATGAAATATTGTACCAGTATTCAGCACAAGCAATCTACGCTCCCAATTTCTTTAGGCATTCGTTGCAAAAACATTAGAGGTAGGTTTCAATGAATTTGTTCACAATCTCGATCTGACCATCAGTCGTTGGATGTGTGTCCCCTAGATACAAAATAATTCCCATCCAGGAATGGCTTACAAACACTTTATCTCGATCGAAGACTATGTACCTCGAAAACTCGTGTAAATGGACCACCTCGTGTATAATTGAGGATGCCATTGACGACTAGAAAAAGGTGTCTCAACGGGATGAAATAGGCGTACTTGCTCGGTCCACGACAAAAACAATATTGTATCCCTCCAACTTTGGTAATCCTTTGATGAAATACATTGATATATCTTCCCATATGCGGTTTAGAATAGGTTGAGGTTGGAGGACTCCTCTGGGTGCCTGACGATTGCTTTCATATCCAGCCAATACAACTCTCCCTTCAAGCGCTTATGCGTTTGTAAGAACCCAAGATGCCTACCCAAAATCATACCCCAGTACCATCCTTGGATTGATAACAAGCCATTAAAGGTTAGTTTCCCCTAAATCTTTTAGCTCTATCCTAATCCTTTTGTTTCGGTTTCAGATTATTGGGACCAGTCCACTCGTTCTTGGGTTGTTGTGACAAGAAGATCTTTCAAGGAGGAAATAATGGAGTTTACTACACTTCTATATAGTTTAACTTCATTTGTGATTGCTCATGATGTGGATCGAAGGTGCTGGTCATTGGAGCCCTCGGGAGACTTCTCGGTTGTTTGAGTAGGAAGAGGGATTCTCCCTCAATGCTTAAAGATTTGTATGTAGCTTTGTGGAAATCAAAGTGTCAAAGAAAAGTGAGCATATTTACTTGGATTTTGCATCATGGGCCTTCTCCCCGTCCTCTAACACTACCACATCAAAGCTGTAAACATCTGTCTTCTTAGTGGGAATACCCGAATAAACAAATATACTCAGACTTATGTAGTGGTCGGCCTTCCTACACGCACGCGCCCGCCAGAATGCCTCCTTGGTTCTGCACGAAGCCAAGCCAATACATACGATAGGCGAAGGAAAGACCCCCATTTCATAGCGATATTCCTCACTCCATGGCATGACACCTTTCGCTCATCCATTCCGCCCGCCCGTCCAGACGAGGCACCCTTTTTCATTATCATCTACCGCCCTTTCTTTCCTCCCTGTCCGATGCAGTCGCGCTGGCTCGTCACTCGGCTCCTCGGCTCACTTCGGTTGCAAAGACTTTCTCCTTAGGCGCATGTCTCAGCAACACAAAACGAGGGTTTCGCTCGTTATAGGACTTGACCAAACATCTCACGACACGAGCTGACGACAGCCATGC